CATTAGTAATATAATAGGGTTTTCATTATAGAAAACATCACAAGTTCCAATAACGACGTCGGACTTTCTTTCTTGATAGTTGGATGACTGTAGAGACCATTAAACTAATTATATGACATAAACGAAACTTAATTTCTATACTAATTGTAATTGATGAATAACTATGAACTAGTTTGGTGTTTGGAAACTAGTAGTTATAAAATTCGATTCAACTTTAATATAATTGTAAGTGCAAAAGATTATGTTGAAAAAACAGAAGCAATAAAGTGTTCGTGTGTCACTCAGAATTTGGAAGGAATAATCAGAAGCTGAGAAGAAAATGTCATTTTATGACTAGGCGCGCCAGGTGGCACCTCGAGCCAAGAGCCCCGCAAGTGGAAAGCTTAAGTTGTAAGCTTGGTTCGGTAAACAAGGAAGATCTGACACAGTTACAAAAGTCAAGCTGCAAGTAGGTTAGGTAAGATCAAGTGATGATGGGACTAGCTGTCCGATATCAACATTAACGGTTTATTGTCCTTTGGGTTTAAGGAAGAACTGTTTTTAGGGTTATAAAGTTGCTGATTGCTATTTCTATAAAAAGAGGAAAAATAGTGCATAAGTCAAACCATATAGAACCTCTAACATCATATCAGCTCGAAAGTTCAACCGATGTTATGTACATTTAAAAGATAAAGTTTTCAAAATCACGAGTTTGTATATCGATATTATAGAGATAACTAATTTTAACTTTGTATAATTCCAAAAGGAATAATGTATTAGTTTGAAGTTTGGACTCTTTTCTTGGTTAAAAATGTCTGAAAACTTTGTTTTGTACCATATTGAAATTAAGTTTAAATAAAACAAACTTGTGACAACAGAAATGTATACTAAAACGAAATTCTTGTTTGGTCAACACTAAAATTGCATATTAGTATATAACGTACAATAGTTGAGATTGACTTTTGTTCGATATGGGCTTCGAAATTCATGATTTGAAGCCTATTTCGCCGAGCTCGGCCCAGCAGCGTTTTGTGCTCAGCCCACAAGCGGCTCGGGTCCAATTCCAGATCCCAAGAAAACCCTACATCCTTGTACCTCCTCATTCTAGTATCAATAGAGGTCCCCATCCCATGAGTTGTCCTATCACTTTTCCACTTTTAAACAAGTACAAGGGAATTGAGAACCCATTGTTTTCAGTACCCTAACTTGAAAAGGGAAAATTCTTCTGTTCGTACTTATTCCGCCGGAATAGTACGAAAAAGTCTGCTTATAAGTCAGCTGAAAGGAGGTCGTACTTATCACAGATCCCGATCACGGAGGCGCTTATCACACGAAATCCGACCTCAATCCCTATTCTCCAAATACCCAGCCCGATATCCGACCTCGTCACTTAGCATTTCAGTCAATTCGTCAGAGACAAGGTTCGTCAGAGACAAGGTTCGTCAGTTCACTAGCTTCCGAGCTCAACATCCTCCCTTTTTAACATTTCCGAGCACAATGTCAATAAATGAGAATTTCCGATCCTTTTACCATTTCATAAATGTATTGTCGAACTCACGTATCAACAACGAAAAAGCTAACACGTATGGTATTATGGCCATTCACCAATGAAAGACACCACACTAAGAGGTCTCGTCATAAAAAACTCAAGCTTAACCGGTAATTTCGTATGCTAAATGATTACTAACCAGCACTGGTTCGTAGAAAAAAACCGGTTCAGAACAAGTCCCAAATGGTTTTTTATCTTCGTAATGTCAATTTCTCAGATAGTTGAATAGGAAAATCATGGTTTCCACGTTATTCTTTTTATTCAACCATTTGACAAAAATATTCTGAATTAAGAGTTTGGTCTTACCTCAAACTAGCCTCATGCATAAACAGCAAACGAAGCTACAATAAACATAAATTTCTCGTGCTAAGGAAGATGTAATCCTTTTTTCCTTTATTAACATAAATTCTAATGTTCCTTCCTTCATTACAATGAATAAAAATCTATTAAAAAAACGACAATAAACTAAAAGAAACATATATAATCTTACGTAAGAAAACAAAATATTCAAAATTAGTGACATGTTAAATTTGGAAAACTATACATCATGCACATGTAATACACGCACACACACACAAAATTACCGTTCAACGGTCACACCTCAAGAGGCTATAAAAAGAGGTTCCTTTGCTCTATTCCCATAATCAACACAATTCACTCTTCTTCCTCCGCTCATCCTCAACTAAAACACAAAACATAAAGAGACATATAGCAAATCAAAGTGTCGATATTTTCAATCTTATTTTCTTCTTCTATTTTCGAAAACGCAATTTCAAGCAAACCCGTG